AAGATCACTTTAGTAGCTCACCAAACTCACACAAAGAAGAGAACACTCAAAAACTCTCTTTTTCTTTTCTCTTCAACTCTTTCTTTATTCTCTGTTCTGAATGCATTTACCTATCATCTTCATCGGTATTTATAGCTTCAAAAAAAGGTTGGTGAAATAGTAAAAGGTTGGTGGAATAGTGATGGGAGTAAGTGAAATAGTATCTTGGTTGGTGAACTTTGAATTCATATTCAAAGTCAAAGAAATAACAAAATCTCCACATTGACTTTGAATATGAAGATCTTCTCTTCACTGCTGTCTCGCCAAAACCCCCTTACGGGCTTAACCTCCGTTTTGTTAAGCTCCAAGTAATTCGAGACAATACTCGAACTTGCACGAATGTATGAGCTTCGTCATCATATCTGTTGGATTATCTGTAGTATCAATTTCCTTAATCTTAATGACTTTAATTTTTCTAATAAAATGATATCTGACATCTATATGCTTGGTTCTTTCATGATTCATCTCTTGCTTCGTCAAATGTATAACATTCTGGCTATCACAAAATACCATAGTAACACCTTGGTGTAAGCCGAGATCTTCAACTAGACCTCTCAACCAAATAGCTTCTTTCACTGCTTTTGCTACTGCCATATACTCTGCCTTTGTGGTAGACAGAACAACTGTCGACTGTAGAGTCGCATTCCAACTAAAAGCACTACCTGAAAGAATGAATATATAACCTGTCAGGAATCGTCTCTTATCCAAATCGCCCGCATGATCTGAATCAGAATAACTAAGTATTCTGCAATCTGAGTTTGTGTTCTTGTCAAAATATAAACCAATATTAGCAGATCCTCTCAAATATCTAAGTATCCATTTAGACTGCTAATGGACCTTTTCAGACTTATCCATATACCGACTCATAACACTGATTGCATGTGAAGTATCTGGATGGGTGCAGACCATAACATACATAATGCTTTTTAACTGCTTTAGCATAAGGAACACAATACATGTACTGTTCCTCTTCAGTGTAAAGTGATAAATTTGCTGAAAGACGAAAATAAGCAGCAAACGGAGTCTTCACAGGCTTGGCATCAAGCATGCCAAATCTCCCCAACAACTTCTTGATGTATTTCTCCTGAGATAAAAATAAACTTCTTTCTCGCTTGTTCCTGTGAATCTCCATCCCCAAAATTTACTTCGCTGCTCCCAAATCCTTTATCTCAAACTCATGTTTCAGTTGAAATTTCAACTCGTTGATTTCTGACATATCTTTAGCTGCAATCAACATGTCATCAATATACAAAAACAAATATATAAAGGAATCATTATTGAGTTTTTATGATAAACACAACTATTATTTACTCCTAGAGTAACCATGCTCAGATATGAAAGTATCAATATGTCAAATACCAATATCTCGGTCAAGCCATAAAGAGATTTCTTCAACCTACACACATGATCTTCTTTACCTTCAATAACAAACTCTTACGACTGATGCATAAAGATCCGCTCTTCAAGCTCGCCACGTAGAAAAACCGTCTTAACATCAAGTTGCTCAAGCTCTAAATTAAAATGAGCAACCATGACAAGTAACACGCGAATTGAGATGTATTTTACAAGTGGAGAGAATACTTCATTGAAGTCCACGCATTCGGTCTGACTGTAGCTTTTAACCACCAAGCGTGTCTTATATCGTACAGATTATGTATCTGGAGTTCCTTCTTTTTTCTTGAACATCCATTTACAGCCAACGATCTTCTATCTCCTTGGTGGCTTCACTAACTCTTATGTCTAGTTCTTGTGAAGAGACTTCATCTCTTCAGTCATCACAACAGTCCAATCTGTAGCTTCACTATCATTAATAGCCTCCTTGTAGGTAGAATGTTCTGAAATCTTAATCGATTCTGTTATACTCAAAGTGTAAGCAAACATGTTTACATAACGTTGAGAATGTCAGATCTGCCTTTTTGTTCTCCCGGTGACAATATTATATTGTTGTTCTTGTGGTGTATCGCTATTTGAAGTTGAGCCTTTCGCAGTGTCAACTGCTTCAACATGAACGCCCTCAAACACTCTCTTTGAAGTTGAGCTCTCTAGAAACATGGATTTCTCATCAAAAATAACATCCCTATAATAATAAACTTAGGTGATTTGAGATCAAAACACCACAATCTATATCCCTTCACCTCAGTACCCTTCAGCTCAATAGTATATCCTAGAAAGATAGCTTTCTTTGCTCTAGGTTCAAGCTTACTATCATTAACGTGAAAATAAACAGAATCAAATACTCTTAAATGAGAGTAATTAGCAGGGACACTAGACCATACCTCTTCTGGAGTTTTAAAATCAATTGCTGTAGAAAAAAATCTATTTATCACGTAACAAGCTGTATTGATTGCCTCGGCTCAAAAGTCTTTTGACAAACCGGCATTAGAGAGCATGCACCGAGTTCTCTCTAAAAGCGTTCTGTTCATCCTTTCTGCAACTCCATTTTACTGTGATGTATGCCGAACTATACGATGATGTATAATACCTTCATTCTTGTAGGACTAATCAAACTCTGTGGAACAAAACTCCATCTCATTGCCGGTTCTGAGGCGCTTCACTTTCTTTCTTGTTTTCTTCTCAATCATAGCCTTCCATTACTTAAAGATTGTAAACACATCACTTTTATGCTTCAAAGGATATACCTAAACTTTTCTAGAATAATCATCAATCAATGTTAGCAGAAAACGAGCTCTCCCTTTCGATGGAACCTGAGAGGAACCCCAAACATCTGAATGAATATAATCTAAAGTACCCTTAGTTCTGTAAACACCGATACTAAAGAAGACTCTATGGTGTTTACCGAAAACATAATGCTCACAAAAGTCTAGTTTGCTAGTTTTCTGACTACAAAGCAAACATTGTTTGCTCAATACATCTAGTCCTCTCTCACTCATATATCCTAACCGCATATGCCACAAACGTGTAGTGTCAGAATATGAATCCTTTGAGAATGACACCGCTACAGAACCTATCATTGTACTACCTTCAAGGATATAAAGTGTATTTACCTACTTTCCTTTCATAACAACAAGAGAACCTTTACTAACTCTCAAAACTCCACCTTCAGCCGAAAACTTAAAACCATTTGAGTCAAGGGTGTCTAAAGAAATGACATTTTTCTTTAACTCTGGTATATGTCTGACATTGCTCGGTGTTCTAATAATATCATCATGAGTTCTGATTTTAATTGATCCGACCAACAGTCTTGCAAGGTATGTTATTTCCCAACATGACATTCTCACCATCAATAGAGTGATATGTGACAAACCAATCTCTATGCGGACATATATGGTAGGAACAACCCGAATTAAGAAACTCTCCACATTGACTTTGAATATGAGGATATTCTCTTCGTTGCTGTCTCGCCAAAAGCCCCTTACGGGCTTAACCTTCGCTTTGTTGAACTCCAAGCAATTTTTGTTGTACTAGGAGAGCCTTATTTTGACTCTCCACAAACCGAAGCTATTTCTCCACTTTGTATTTTGCAGAAGACATCTTGAAGCTCACTAGAATAACACTTGCTCTGATACCAATTTGTTATTTCTTTGACTTTGAATATGAATTCAAAGTTCACTAACTAATAGACTATTTCACTTACCCTCATCACTATTCCACCAACCATTTATTATTTCACCAACCTTTTTTTGAAGCCATAAATACCGATGAAGGTAAGAGGTAAATGCATTCAGAACAGAGAGAACAAAGAAAAAGTTTGAAGAGAAAAGAAAAAAAGAAAAAAAGAGTTTTGTTAGATATTAGAGTGATCTCTTTTTGTAATCTTTTCTTTTATGATTAGTAAATTTGTCTGTTGTTCTCGCTCGTGGACGTAGGTCATACTGACCGAACCACGTTAAATGCTTGTGTGTTATTCTCTATCTCTACTGTGATTACATAGTACACTGTTATCATCCACTTTTGTATAGACATCTTATGTGTCTGTGTAGCCCCTCGGCTCCAACACATGTTTTGAATTGTCCAAGACCTGCAATTCTATGGTTAGGTAATAGCTAAGCCCTCATCCTGTAATACGTATGAACTGCATATATCAACCATGTCTCTCCTCCTTCATGCATCCATGTGTACCACATGCAAGCAAATGTGACATAACGTGTGCATTGTGAATGCGATATTCATAGGTTCATGCATGATCAAGATAGGTGTTTGCACATGCCAAGTACATGGTGAACAATATAGATATATAAGTATGATTCATTCATTTATCACGACAAACAAATCTATGTTTAAAAACCTTTTTAATTTTCCACGTTTCTAGTTCCTCATTCTTTTTGTTGAAGGAGTACTATTATGCCGAACCACTCGATACATCTGATAGAAGTTCCAAAAGTACACAATAATCTTATTTCTTCATAGCATGCAAATCATGATAAATGTCATGAGCTAGCCATCTGCCAAGTAGGAATAACTATCTTGCTTATGCAGTAGGAGATAAAGCAAGAAAGCAAATGAGATGTTAGCATAAGCCCAAATTCCATAGCCTACTCAACTGACTTTCATGTTAGATCCCCATATCAATATGAAGAGGTGTAGTCATTGATTCATTAATCGGCAACACGAATCCATACAACTAATTCCAGAAAAGAAAGCTATCCGAAATGAGGTCAACACGACAAAGGTAATCTCTACGACTACGAGTACGCTGAGAATGTCTGGGCTAAAGGCTTTATTGTTATTGTTGTGTTATGAGTACAGCATAAACATCTTCCAATCCCGTAACATCTAGAATACTGACACGCGTACAATGGGTTCTAGTGTTGCAAGCTATAAAATTAGTCAGCAAAGCAGAACACGGATTACATGTCGAACCAGACCTACAAGAAAGATGTTCAGACTGTGATGAAATTACAAGCCCCATAGCAAATGAATGAAAGGTAACCAGATGGCTTTAAAAGGTTCCATGACATCATATAAACAAAAAATACTAATGAAACAAGTCAGACACTCACGGTCTGTGGTGAAACCATCCCACAGGGACATAAACTCGGTTTTCATGTTAGCCATGGCTTCATGGTCCGTGCTACGGCGCTGCCCCAAGAAACTATCAACCTCGTCAATAAAAATGATAGCAGGCTGGAGCTTATGGGCGAGAGTAAACACCGCAGCCACTGCAAAAGTTGAAGAAAGAAACACTGAGCACAGCATTACGTCGGGATCAGACGAACGTGATATTTGCAGAGAACTCCAACATGGGAGGATTAACGCCCGTAAGCTTACGTACCGAGCTTTTGAGCATCTCCAAACCATTTACTCATCAAATTAGACACCCTCACATTGATAAAAACAGCACCGGACTCCTTAGCGATGGCCTTTGCTAGCATTGTTTTCCCGGTCCCCGGGGGTCCATACAGCAGAACCCCCTTCTGCGGACTAAGAAGCTTCCCGTGCGAAAACAACTCAGGTCTCCTCAGGGGAAGGATGATCAGTTCAAATAATTCTCGCTTAATCTTGTCGAGACCTCCAACGGACTCAAACTCGACATCGATATGAACAGGATTTATAACATCGCACGCTATCACGTCCTACAAATGTAATTAACGTAAACTGTCACAATGTCCATTCTAGGGTTTATGCAAACAGCTAACTGAAGCAAAAGTACCAAAAACTTATCGATAAAAACCGCCAAAAATCCCAAAAAGAAAAAAAAAGAGGAAGAGTAATAATCGAAGATAGAAGGAGACCTCATACTGATTAGTGTTGGTTAGAGGTCGGCCGAGCCTCTTGGCGATCTCCCTCTTCTGCTTGAGCGCCTTCTTCGATGCGGCGTGGTTAGCGTCGAGCTTACGGAGTGCGGCGCAGAGAACGAGGTAACTGAGCCCCGCGCTCGCCGCGTAGAGGGCTAGCTCTTTCAAGAACCTCGACCCTTCCATCGCCGACGACCAAGCTTTTCTTTTGATTTTTCTCCTTCTTGATTTTTTTTTTTTTTTTTAGCCCCGCGCTCGCCGCGTAGAGGGCTAGCTCTTTCAAGAACCTCGACCCTTCCATCGCCGACGACCAAGCTTTTTTTTTTTTTTTTTTCCTTTTTTTTTTTTTTTTTTTTTTTTTTTGATCGGTTTAGAAATGGAAATAGAGGAGCCAAAGTGTTTTCTGTCGCTCTGGCCTTGCGGCCTAAGAAAGAGAGTACGATGAGGATGGGTCGGGTCGTAAACGGGTCGGGTATCTATCATATCAAGTACTCGGTTCGTTTTGAGTTCTCGTGTTTAAACTGCAAGATGAGATCGTTCTGAAATTGATCCTTTTTGTGCGTGTATAAGTTGCTAGCGTTGAAGTAGGCGGTATGCCTTTGCTACAGAGTACCAAACAGCCCCTAAATGTCTTTAGCTCTCTCGCCTTGGCCAGGTGTGACAATTTCAAAAGCCTGAGTAAATCGCCCAAGTATTGTCTCATCTAGCGCAGATGGACGGTCTGTAGCAGCTAAAACCATAACCTGAGCATTTTCTGCGATACCAGTGCAATATGAGTCTTCTACTAAAACCTCTTTATAACAAACCAAAACACATGCACCCTTTAAAATGAACAACAATTTGTTATTATCTGTCATATAACACCGCGTTATAGCAATTAACTTGCATTATTATTATTATTCTTTTTTTTTGTGTCCTCTTCATATGTTCGTGCATGATTAAGATTGTACGTTGTTTGCACATGCCAAGTAAGAGGCGAACAATCTAAGGTATGAGTATGGTCCATTCATTTATCACGATATACACGCCCCACATCTATATATGTTTAAAATTTATTTCAATTTTCCATGTTCCTCATGCTTTTTGTCGTCAAAGGAATATTATTATTTCATCCAAGTATAGGAACAACTATCTTGCTTATGTAAGTGGTGATAACGCGAGAAGGTAAATAAGACATTAGCATAAGACCCAATTCCGCAGCCTACTCAACGATCGTTCATATTCGATCCCCATATCAGCAAAATGAGATGGAAGCCCTGGTTCATTTTATCAGCAACACAAGTCCATACAAGTAATTTCAGCAAAGAAAAGCTCCTTTGAATAAAGTACGTATGAAAAAGGTAATTTCTATGAGTACGCTGAAAATATTTGGGCTAAAGGCTTTGTCGTCGTTGTTGTGTTTGTACAACGTATATTCGAATCCTGTAATATATATCTAGACTATTAACAAGTGATCAACAATGGGTTTTGATCGAGTGCAGGAAGATATAAAACTAGTCAGCAAGCACGACGTCATGCATAGATTACATGACAAACCAAGCTTACTCCCAGGCCCGACTGTCGCAATATTGCTCGATCTTGGTGTCTGCGCGCGACGTGCAAACCAAAAAAAGAAAGAAAGAATTGAATCAGACGGTAACAGTTATTATGTAAAGCATTTCCTAATTTTCCATTTTCGGAATAGTGAACCAGTTAAACAAGATGTCATAAGTGAAGCTAATTAGATAACGACGAGAGACACATCCGTAGCGAAGTAGCCCAGCTACGTAACTGTACGATCCTTTATTGAGATTATAAGATGAAATGATGTTTAAGGTATTATCCTTACTTCGGTTGTTTTTCACGTTCTTTTCTTCCTCCAAGCAACTGATCTCCGACAGGCCGAAAATGGGCGAAAACCTCCAGACCGCCTTGCTATATATATATGATCACAGTCGATGTTTTCTTCTGCATGTTCTTTTAGGTACTGTTTGGCAAGGGGTTAAGGAGACTTGAGTTAACCCTCCATAATTTGCCAAACATAAAAAATATAGAAGGGTTAAGTTAATCCCTCTAGAGGGGTTAAAATGAGTTAACCTCTCAAAATGAGGGGTTTATTAATACTCCTATTTAGATGGAATAAGAGTTAACCCTTCTAATTATAAAGAAAATAGTCAAAATCATTGTTATTCCCAAACACTAAAACTGATCATAAGTGCTAAAATAAAACTTATCTAACGGGTTAATAATTTAGTCCTTCGGATTATCAAATGGGCTAAGTATATTAATCCTTCTCTTTAACCCCTCTTCATTAACCCTTTGCCAAACGGGGCCTTACGTAGCAAATCAAAAGACGTACGTGTTCTAGATCGAACAAGAGCTTCTTCCTCTTCTTCTTCTTTTCTTTTTTGTGAAATGTCGTGGCGATCAGCTTTGAGTACTACATGATCAGTACTTTCTGGAGATTAAATGTGGAAGTAATTCTTCGTTTGACAAAATCACAGGCCTTCTGCGGCTACATAAAAACCATTGTAAGATGATTAGGCATGACATCGACATGTATTAATGGCAGGGCGCGTTGAGGTTTTTGACGGCGAGGGGAGAACACCCAGGAATTAAATGACAGCATCAACTATAAATAAATAATCAGGTACTTCACAAAAAATGCGTAGGAGGTTTTCAAATTATGTTTTACTAACTCCATATCAGCGGTCTTTTATTAGATCAGTTATATATTTGATTAATAGACTGTAGCTAATAAGATTTTAGAAAGTTTACATTCAAGGGCAATTAATTAATTGCTTTGAATACAATTAACTAACTAGTGTGCACCTCGTGCAAACCATGGCCTCCAAGGCTCCAATTTTTTATTTTAGCTACAATAATTTTATATTTAAATACAGTTTTATAAGTGGTAATATTTTTAAATACTACAGTATCCCGTCTGAGCTACAGTAATAATACTATAATAATATTTTTTAAACGCTACAGTTCTCGCCTGCGCTACAGTAATTCAAATCGCGTGAACAACTGAGCTGGATCCTCCTGTTTGTGCTACAGTAATGAATACTATAATAATTTAATTAGTATTTACTGTAGCATAAATAGTGAATCTTAGATCCTCCCTTGTTTATAGATGAATAGATGTATAGTCTAGAGAAGATCTGAGTGACTTAATTTAATATTCCTTAACAAAGAATACTCAATACGTTCTTATCTAGTTTTGTGCAGGCCGTGGCCCTTACTTAAAAATGGGCCATTAGAGCAGATCGAGCCCCACTGTAGAGTCCCCGTTCCCCTGTGATGAAGGGAGTTTAAAGGGGAGCATAGAGAGACATAAGAATAAAAATAAATTATTTAAAAGAAGAACAATGATCTTTTTTTTTTTATCTCTGAGAATCGTCGTAGATGGAGAACCTGGAGATGAGTCTGGAAGAGGACTCTCCAATTTTCCAGCTACCGTTGGCTGTTTATTCATCGGCTATATGTATGCTTACTATCGTTGTTGCGTGCAAGCAACCTGTTCGACGAAATGCCCCAACGGTTTGACCCCCGATGGAATGGATGCTTGCGTTCTTGTGCTCATAACGGCTCCGAGAAAGGGCGTTGACTTTGTACCACCAGACAAAATGAAACTAGTTGACTTTGTGAGGATGGACTTTACTAATTGCTACGAATTAGTATCATCGGCCTTAGATTGGGAGCGGCAAGGCCTCATTTGTGCTGCTTTTCCCAATTTGAACTTTGTCAAGATGGAGACTCCCCAATTGCTGCACATATTTTTTGATGGGTCTTGCTAGTATATCAAGGTATGTCATTCTCTCTAAACTAATAATGATGCTAACTTGTCCCCATGACTTGCCACGGGTTTCTTCAGTTGATTTGAATAAGTTGTGTACATCGTTGACATTAATTATATGCTTTTGAACTGTTTTTTCTTAGTGGATATTGATTTTTTTTCTAGTATTTTTTAATTCAAGGATTGGGTTTAACCGTAATATCATCATGTGAACGTTCAAGATTCCCTTGTATCTAGTAATTATGATTGTGTGGATTAGATGTATCTGTCGGTCTTAATATCAAAGGGATTTTTTTTTTTAATCTGAAAGAACAAGCGGCATATATTTGTAGCCATATCACTAATAAGGGAGACCTGATGCAGATGGTAAATTCTGAAAGGGCCAGAAGACTGCATCTGTTTTTTTCTTTTTTTTTTTCGGCCAAGCAGATACTGTAGAGAACTAGTCCAGGATTCAAGTCCTCAAAAGGGGGAACCTCCCGTAGCCTCTCTTTATCTCAGTGGGATGATTTAAAGGAAAAACATTACAGTTAATGGTAGCTAGCAAAGGTTATTTCTGCAAAGAATTACCAGCTATCACGTTCACAGCGTCCTCCCATAGAACTGTCCTTGTGCTAGTAACTGGCACCCTGCGACTGACACGTGGGGCCCCTTACATTGACCTGCTATGTGTGGGATTCACTTGTTTATCTTGCAGTACAACATCTGCAGTACTGTGTTTTGCAGTACAACCCTGAGAGATTTGCCACTGAAGGAAGATACAGAGCTAGGTGACAAATGACAAATGGAGGCACCCTGACCCTTCTTTGTGTTCATGCATGAAACCAATCTGACAAAAAACAAATGCACATGCATTATGTGTATTTTTTTATTATTATTTTGTTCTTGTCGTCCCTTGAGATTTATCTCAAGACATCCATAGTTTTCTATTCCATTGGCCATCTCATTTACAATTACAGAGACAATTGACAAACAGGAAGAAGATCATCAACTCAACTCAACTCAAAATGCGCATTAATTAGTCCCCGTTTGCCAATCACCCATCATCCCAAAAGTCACTTCCCCCCATTTTTTGGTCCCTCCAATATGACTACCTCCTTGAGAGATCCTCCTTCAGCTCTTCAATATCGAATCTCATCCGACTCTCTTTAGTCTTTACCCACCAAAGAAACGTAGTGTTTGCACTAACGTTGCTTTCCGTCAGTTAATGAAAAAGGTAGGAGGAAGAAGAACCAAGTCAACTGAACATTAAAAAATAAAATAAAGCCTTCCCATATTTGTTTCTCCCTCTATATAAGAGCTTTGTTCTGCAACAAACTTGTATGCAGTCTAAAGCGATTCTTCGCCTGAGAGACACCGGCTTATTTGGTGCTTGTCATTCTTGCTCGCTCTTCTCAGAAGGCTAGTTAATTTCTCATGAACAGTGTCTTTCATCTTTTTTGAAATTTTATTCTTATTCCTCCTTGATTCAGACAGGGCAAGAGAAGTTATGGCGATCCTCCCAATCGAAGGGCAAGAAAGAGCGAGGCTCGAGATTGAGGGAGCGAATGACATGGAGGAAGGAGAGGCTTCCAAGAACTTGGGGGCAATCCCCCCATGGAAAGAGCAAATAACCATTCGGGGCCTCGTTACTAGCCTCATCATCGGGATCATGTACACTATTATTATTATGAAGCTCAGTTTGACTACAGGGCTCGTGCCAACCCTCAATGTCTCCGCTGCTCTTCTTTCCTTTGTCCTTCTCAGGACTTGGATTAAGCTGCTTAACAAGGCTGGCATCATGTCTAAGCCTTTTACAAAGCAAGAGACTAATGTGGTTCAGACCTGCGCGGTTGCCTGCTATACGATGGGATTTGGAGGTCTGAAATGGCTCAATATGTGTATGATCATTGTTAGATAGAAAGGTTTTTTGATCTTTTTTTTTTGGTCTGATGCAGGTGGGTTTGGGTCTTATTTGTTGGGCCTGAACAAGAGGACTTATGAACTAGCAGGCACAGATACGAAGGGGAATATTCCAGGGAGTTATAAGGAGCCTGGAATTGGATGGATGACTACATTTCTCTTTGTTACCAGCTTCGTTGGTCTTTTCGTATTGATTCCACTCAGAAAGGTATTTGCTTTACTTCTTTTGCCAATTTTGATTCTGATTTTTTTTTTTTTTTTTTGCAAAAAAGCTTCTCCGCAAATTGGTTTAGGATTTGTATTGTGGAACTTGCTATGTTTATCTCACAAACAAACAAACAAACAAAAGAAGAAGAAGATAGGAAAGAAAATCTCTATGGAAAATTGGTCTACTTTTGAATTTACTTTGTAAGTATGTAAACTTGAAATCCCAGGTTTTTAAAAGTTGTTAGAAATTGGTTGTACCACTGAAAAGAAAGTCTACCTGTAAATATCTTCTGTAAGGAAATGAAGTGAGTATCCAAATTTGACATTTTGTCCAAATATTAACATATTATTTTACTAGCAAAGAGAGTTATTGAAGGGTGTTGAAAGTGAGAGGAGACTTGGAATTAATTATCTTAATGAATCTCACATCTTAGTCGTTGTATCACGATAATGTCATCAATAATGACGATGATGATGACCATGTAAAATATTGTGTTTGAGTGTCTCATTTCACTGAGGCCAAACTTAAGATGAAGGGGGAGAGCAGACAAAAACCCATATGGCACAGCCTTAGCACATACTTGAAAAAGTGGAGAAGGGACTTGTAAACTGCTTGACGTAAACTCCCGATTGATCATAAAAACCCCTGACTGATCATGTAAGAGAGAAATTTGAAATCAATGTAACTGGAGCAAAAAGTTTCTTATAGATTTTTGGGCTATGGCCCTCATTTTCCTCTAACAAAATAGTATATATTTAAACATATTTATCTAGAATTGTATCAATATATTCTTATAAGTTTAATCTGGTAGATGCTTCCTCTAAAGCCTAGTGAAAATTTCAGATTATGATTATAGACTACAAGTTAACTTATCCAAGTGGCACTGCAACGGCTGTCCTCATCAATGGCTTTCACACTTCCAAGGGAGACAAAATGGCTAAGTAATAGTCAGGTTTTATCTTATTATATATGCACACTCACATATTTTTTCTGTTTTTATAATCTCTGATTTTCTTCTTCATCAGGAAGCAGGTTCACGGGTTCACTAAATACTTCTGTTTCAGCTTTCTCTGGAGCTTCTTTCAATGGTTTTTCTCGGGGGGTGATGTCTGTGGATTCGCACAGTTCCCAACTTTTGGTTTACAGGCTTATAAGGAGACGTATTTCTCTTCTCACAATCTCGTTATATTAGTAAATTTTCATCTCAGAGACTGACATAGTTTTCATTGAAATCTTTGTTGGCAGATTTTTCTTTGATTTTAGCCTGACATATGTCGGAGCTGGTATGATCTGTTCGCATCTTGTGAATATCTCGCTTTTGCTTGGAGCAGTGCTTTCATGGGGAGTAATGTGGCCATTGATCAGAGAGGAGAAAGGCGTTTGGTTTCCTGCTACCATCTCAGAGAGCAGCATGGAAAGCTTGCAAGGTTACAAGGTCAGTGGCTAGCAAATTCTTCCCTCTTCTTTGTCAGGAACAGCATGCCGACTCTACTCATATTTTTTTTTTCCATTGCAGGTTTTTATCTCCATTGCTTTGATCTTAGGGGATGGTTTATACCATTTCCTCAAAATTAGCGCCATAACTGCAAGAAACATGCACATCAAATTCAGAAGCAAAACTCGTAAACGGGGTAATCAAATGAGGAAAACACAAAGTTAAACTAATTATACACGTAACTTTGAATTGCATTTCAGTTGACAATCCTCTCTCTTGCAGAAGCAGCTGACAACACTGTATCTCTCGATGATCTTCAACTCACGGAAGCATTCACGAAAGAAACAATACCTCTTTGGATAGCCTACGTTGGTTATGCTATCTTCACTGTAATATCATTAGTCGCCATTCCTCGCATGTTTCCTGAGGTGAAGTGGTATTATGTTATCATCGCCTACATCCTTGCTCCAGTTCTTGGCTTCTGCAATGCTTATGGTGATGGTCTTACCGACATGAACATGGCTTATAACTACGGAAAAGTTGCTCTGTTCATAATCGCAGCTTGGGCCGGAAAGGATTCAGGAGTAGTTGCTGGTTTGGTAGTCTGTGGTCTGGTAAAATCTGTTGTTTATATTGGTGCTGATTTAATGCACGACTTCAAGACTGCTCATTTAACTCTAACTTCATCTCGAGCTATGATTATTAGCCAAGCCATAGGAACTGCCATGGGCTGCATTGTTGCTCCTCTCACTTTCTTCCTCTTTTACAAAGCCTTTGATGTGGGAAACCCCGATGGAGCCTTCAAGGCTCCGTATGCTTTGGTTTACAGAAACATGGCGATTCTTGGAGTTGAGGGATTCTCTGCGCTTCCTGGCCATTGCCTTCAGCTTTGTTATGGGTTTTTTGCCTTCGCTGTTGCGTGTAATATAATGAAGGATATTATTCCAAAAAAATATGGGCGGTTGATTCCTTTGCCGATGTGCATGGCAGTGCCTTTCCTTGTTGGAGCTAGCTTTGCGATTGATATGTTCGTAGGGAGTTTGATAGTGTTTGGATGGCACAAGATTAACAGCAAGAAAGCAGCTTTGATGATACCAGCGGTTGCCTCGGGTTTGATCTGTGGAGATGGGCTTTGGGTCCTACCATCTTCCTTGCTTGCTCTGGCTAAGGTCAATCCTCCCATCTGTATGAAGTTTGTAAAACCCTCGGCAGCCTGAGAACTGATTTTGAGATCTCACGAGATTTTCAATGAGTGTGACTCAGAGAAACATTCTCCATTAATAAAACTGGGTCAACGATACCCTTTTTACGCCCATATTTGGGTCATGCTGCCGTGCAACTGGGATGTAAAAGTATTAGGATAGGACTGATACACAAATGTTTCTGTTGATATTTGGGGTTTTCTGTAAATTGAATGCGGTAAGAAGCGCACTTTATGTAGAGTTGCAAAGGTGGAGTCATTGGAGTCTTGATGCAGGCGGACCTTTTATGTGAAGATCAAGCAGATTAGGGCTCTTAGGTCCTCGTGACGGTTGCAACGATCTTACCTTCACCATGAATGGACTGTTAATCTCCGCTACTGTTCTTCGTAAATGTCGTACTCGTATTTATTTTAGTCTTTTCGGGCTTGATTTTGTTGTATCGTGTAAAAATGAGTTCGAGTTCTCAGAAAAGCTCGATTCCAATAAAAATCCGCGACTTCCTTCCTCAAACCCAGGGTTTTAGATCTTAGAATTGGAGCTTGTGCTGATCGGAATCTATGTTGTAAAATCGACTTGCACCAAAACAGAAACACACCTTCTTTCAAAATACAGTTGATTCCCTTGTACCCTACAGGATTCCACAGAAGCCCAGCCTTCTTTGTAGAAAGACAAAATTGACACATGACCAAACTTTTTCCAGGTACAAAACCTTAACCACACGCTCCCATATCTCTCTCCACACTCCCCTTATCTTTGCCCTGCCTCTCCATCTTCTCCCTCTTCTCTCTCTCTCTCTCTGCATCTCCCCTTCCTCAACAATGGCCACCTCCACAACTCTCCACCTTCTCAACCTCCACTCTAACCCCAAAACTCCCTCATCCAAACTCCCCAGGCCAACATCACAGCCACAACCAAATTCTCTCAAGCAAACACCCACCAGCATCTTCTCCAACGTCTCCCTCGCCGCCTCCACTGCTCTCGCTCTCCCCCTCATCGCCCCGCAGGCAAGTTTATTTTGTGAACGTAACACAGGCATCAAATTTGTTAATAACAAACTGAACCAGTATTGTATCACAGTGCATTGTGAGTTAAATTAATCCTAGGACGAAACAGGATCCTAATCGAAATGTGGACCATGCATGTCCTTTATTGTCCTAACACTTTTTATTTTCATGGAAAAGGATGCTCTTGCTGCTGCTGGTGAGTTTGGGATTCTTGAAGGCCGAAGTGTCGCGCTAATCCATCCAGTAGTCATGGGCAGCCTGTTTGTGTACACTCTGTATGCAGGTTATCTCGGGTGGCAATGGCGCAGAGTGCGAACAATTCAGGACGAGATCAACCAGCTCAAGAAACAAGTCAAGCCTCCTGCTCCTGCTGCAGTCCCCGCAGGTACTGACGTGGCGAAAGAGGCCCAGCAGCCCGGCCTCGCCTGTCTGAACAGAAAATTAGGAGCTCACTGAGGTGCGTGTTTATTTATGTGACTCGTTATATTGCAAGGAAATGTGTTTTTGTTTGATTTTTAGTTTTTTTTTTCTCTTTCAGGAGAGGAAAGCTTTGTTGAAAGGGTCGTTTAGGGACCGACATTTTAATGCTGGATCGATACTGTTGGGGTTTGGAGTGCTGGAAGCCGTTGGTGGTGGTGTTAATACATGGATGCGCACAGGGAAGCTTTTTCCTGGGCCTCATTTGTTTGCTGGAGCTGGTACCTCTCTTTATCCTGAAAATTTACTGCAGTTTTCTACTTATTTTTTGCCCAATATTCATAGCAGTGGTATGAGCAGAATGCTAATACTACCACCACGACATCCATATCCACTTGCAACTAGAAATCAACATATCAGAAACATATTTCATATTTGTTGTTGAACAACATGTTGAATGCAGTCATAGAGTTCATTAATGTTGTAAATGTTGAATTAACAATGTAGTGGCCTTTGAAAGTTAAAATGATATTCCAGACCAAATACCGATTTGTTCAGAAATTCAGTAGAAGCTAATAGATGTGAGGTCTGATTGTAAGAACTTGCTGTAAAAGAAGTAGTTTAACCATGCACGAGCACGACAAATCAATTGAATTAACTTGTAATAACAAAGAACCGATACATTCGATCTAGTGAAGAAGGCATTTATTTGTCTCAGCCTTTAACCACTGTCTCAATATCCTTTCCTAATAAAGTTTCTTGTTTCTGCCAAACCTTTCACTAAGCTTAGCAGTATTATATACATTTCGAAATCCTGTTATTAAGATAGCCTAGTTTGGTGAATTCATAATATGAATGTATCGTCATATAAATGATTCTTGTACTGATGTAGGGATAACGGTATTATGGGCGTTGGCAGCGGCGCTTGTTCCTGCAATGCAGAAGGGAAACGAGACTGCCAGGAATCTGCATATCGCACTGAATGCGTTTAACGTGCTGCTATTTGTATGCCAGATCCCAACCGGATTTGATATTGTCCTCAAAGTTTTTGAGTTCACCAAGTGGCCTTGATTTGATCGAAGATTGTTCCTCCCTTTTTTAACCTCTTTTTTTTTTCCCGCCCTTCAGATCTCTGCATTCATTTTGTAATGTTCCTTAATTTGATATGCTATAGTAAAAAACACATGTACATATATATGCAGCGCATGATTTGAGTAATGGCTGTTAGCATGACTTGCATATTTACATGCATGCATAGGCAAATACATCCATACAGCTTACCATCAGCACCTTGACAGCACCCAAATCAAAGCTTACAATAGAGTTTCATTGGAAAGGAGACCTTTTCAACATTTTGAAGAAAAGTAGAGAAACAGAAAAAGGTAAATTAAAAAAAAATTCTCCGCACAATGATTATCTGAACTTGAGCATGCCCGCTACACAAAAATGGAACCACAGATCAACTGCAATTTCAGGATATCAATATGAAAAGTAACATTTTTGTAAATAACCTGGAAAGGGAAAATAATGTCGACTAATCACATATTGCAACTATTATCTGGATAAATATGACGGGCACAGAGAACTTTCCTCTCATTGTGCTTTTTACAGTGTTAGAGGCTTGCTCAAACTTAAACCCTGCTCAAATTAATAAAAAGCGCGTAAAAGAAAGTTTGCTGATTTAGTCAAGATGTTCAACTACTCTACTTCAAAAACCCTCTTGCAGTAAATTATCACCAAAATATGGCAACAGATGCTAAACTAGAATTTGCAAGTATTGCAAGGTACTGCAAAGTAGAGCAGTATAACATGCATTTCTACACACTTGGAAATGTAGGTTTTTCCGTTGAGATCGAAGAAATAGCACTGGATAATACTAACTGACCTCTAGTTGAGTATATGACCGCTTCATAATTAGCATAAACAAGATGTCTAAAATAAACTTAACATGCGTATAAGTGCTGGAAACAAGATAGTAGAAAGCCCTAGTAGTTCAAAGTTTACAATTATCCAACACATCAACTTAGCCATTTCAGTAACATTCAACATTCAATGAAATTGTCGTCAATGTCATGAAACATGTGAATGTTGATGACTATTCCATGCTTTTAGTGTCTGAATGTTCAGCAGCACCGCATCTCCATAATTCCTGCACATTTATAAAAATTAAAAGACAAATAATAATAAACTTTTGATTCTTCACAAACAAATAAGGCAATAGCCACTTGCATTAGTTCCAGCAGCCACTCAATGTTGTCAACAGTAGAGAAGATATAGAATACACAAAAGTTCAGTGAAAGTTTAGGCAAACAAGACAACCACCGAGTTTGAAGTTTTACCAATAGACATGATCGCTAACAGGCTGTTTATCACCATAAGCAAGGAAAACCTATAAAGTAACACAGCATGCTATTTTATTGATGAGCACAAGCTATGCAATACCCAAATTAGAAAAATCTCATCAACTCTTTCACGATACAAGGCACATCTCTTTGTTCATTCTTTTCTTCCAACAACTTCAGCGCTTCATTTCCATGGAAATTTGGGTAAACAAGACAACCATGCCATTTACATTTTTCTAATACAAATGATCAGTAACATACACATCTTCACTGTATTCAATCGAAATGTTTCAGTGCAACAGCATCTATGCAGCTAAACTGATAAAAACATATAAAGAAAACCATAATGGGCTAAATTGAAAATACTTCTGACGGATGAGAGCAAGTTTTATGGAAAATAAAATTGACAAAAAACCGGCTAAATGGAATGAGATAACCATCTGATCAAATGTCTTTCTACTAGAGATGATTAGTACCATGCTGACTTCATTCTAAGGAACCCGTAAAGTAGCAGAGTAGCTAAAGATTTCTAACAGAAATAAGTGTCTTCCTCCCTCTTGCCTTCCCATTTCCTTTGATGAAGAAATTTATACTCTTCTACCACAGATGTTACAAGGGAACCTTCCCAGAGAAACTAAACTGATAAATCATAAGCAATCATAGAAAGACAATGTTTTAAATATCAGATATCAGGAAATAACGATTGGCCAGAATTCATATCGGATTGTGGATATCGGGAATATGTGGTAAATATCAGAATGCCATAACGGATGTTTGCATATATAGTGTAATGTACTAAATGTAATCTCAACTTACACAATGAAATCTAAGCATACAAAATGTAAATAATATATGTTTAGGATCACTAATTAACCTTGTAAAACAAACAAAAGTACAAATCAACATTGCAACATTTCCTTTGATTTTTGTAGGCCAAAATGTCATTTGATATAATGGAAAAAATCATGATATCTTGCCCAAAAATAGGGAAACGCGGTATATTGTTTTGCGAGAAGCAATCTAGGCTAATATATCGGCTGATATATCAACCATATCAGGGATATATCGCCCAAGCGGTAAAGGATATTTAGACACCATATCGATTGTGGCAAGCCGTACAAAAGGATATATCGGGTGATATATCAGACCATGTCTGGGATATTTAAAACAATGTAGAAAGATATTAACTAAAGCTACTTCTAAAGCATGCAACTAAAATATCGGAGATGTTATGGAAAATCAAAATGACAGGATGAAGCAGCTAAAAGGAATTTCAATATGTCAAATTGAAGGGCTTCGCATACAATGATTAGAAAATCACATGTATAAACGACTAAGAAAGTACCATCCATCACAGTAAGTGACATTCACCCGACCTGAAAATCTGTTTGATACCTGATCATTAAATGCCAGAGAGTAATGCCATGCTTAACACTCTCAAAAATAACTACCTAAATTCTATCCACTTATCAGTGTTTCCGACATGTAAGCAACTGAACATATTAGCACCCCATCCCATTCCTGCAAAACAGAAAAATATAATTTACGCAATGATACGAACTACGATATGACAAGATGAAAAATTGGTCATATCATGCATAGTGGTATATGCTGGAATTATAATCCCACTGGGATTAATGGGGTATCACTGAGTACAACTTTGAATTCAGCTACTGTCAATATAAACAACCTAACAGGCGTAGCCAAAAATATAACTTAGGTAAGGATTTGCCCGTATAGTAAGCAATTGTGATAGTTATACAAGTCCCACCAAGTTAAGCCATTCATGACTACAACTTCAAATTCAGCCACTGTCCAAACAGGCGTAGCCAAAAATGTAAACCTACTGGAATTAACGGGGTATCACTGAGTGATATGGCAAAGTTAAGACATTCATGACTACAAATCCCAGTAATCCTACTAGGATCAATGGGGTATCACTGAGTACAACTTCTAATTCAGCTACTACCAATATAAAAAACCAAACAGCCGTAGCCAAAAATGTAAACTTAGAAAAGGATTTGCCCGTACACTAAGCAATTGTGATAGTTATACAAGTTCCACCAAGTTAAGCCATTCATGATTACAAAAATATTCCATCAAGTTAAGCCATTCATGATTACAAAAATATTCTGTATCCCTTATTACTTCAAATTAAACTAGAATATATATAAATATATACAGGGTGAATCTTAAATCTGTAAACTGAGTTAAGCCATTCATGATTACAAAAATATTCCATATCCTTATTACTTCAAATTAAACTAGAAATGTATATATATATATATATATATATATATATATATATATATATATATATATATATATGATATATATATACTATATATATGAGAAATATGGGTATGCTGCGTACCAAGCCACAATTTTGTGGGTTGCGTAGTGATGTGTCACATCCCCATCCACTCACTACCCATGTGAATTTGTCCACATGAATGAGTGGAGAGGGATGTGACACCTCATACCAAGCCCACAACTTTTTGTGCTTGCGTACGCAAGCATACCCATGATTTTCTCTCTCTCTCTCTCTCTCTCTCTTCTTTATATATATATATATATATATATATATATTATATTATATATTAGGTATATATATATATATATATAAATATATACAGGGTGAATCTTAAATCTGTAAACTGACCTATGAAGTATGAACTTAAACTTTGTTCCCACCTACCAAACTACATGGTGGAGCGCCCTAAGGAATTATCTAGACCATTCATCTTGATATACACATCATGAAGCATAGTAAAAAATTATGTGGTTTGAAGATTTCTAACCCATCTATATAATGTTCGAAAATGAATGACTCTTTTATATACAACAAAACAAACCATTAGATGCTAGAAAAGTTCTCATAATGCACAGTTTTTTTTCCCTTCTTCTTCTTCTTCTTCTTTTTGTTTAACATGTGTTTTTTAAATAACAAACAAGATGAAAGAGATTCTATGACATGATAAGCATGATGGGTGATCCATTCCCTTCATTTTGTTTATTTACCAAGATGAACATTGCGGGAACATCGTAGCAGATCTATTCAGGAGTTCTACCAAAACATGACATATTTTATTGGGTTTTTACATGAAAACAGCCTTACATTTTGTCCAAATTGATACTTACCACCTTTCCTTTTTATTTTTGATTAAAACCACCTTTACTGACATACATTTTTGCAATCTCACACCTAATCGATTTTTCTGTTAAAAGAAGACCTACACTTCTGAAAATACCCTCACTCAACACGCGCAAAGCACGTGTGTCCCAATTAATTATAGAAAAAGGGTTTTTTCAATTATTATCGCCAAATCTTTCATATGTTGATATTGACCCCCCCAAATCTATCATATTTTGAAATTAACCCCCAAATCGATGTCATTCTTGCCGTAGAGGGTTATGCGGAGGTCGAGATCGTTGAAATTTTGTTCCTTAGCTCGAGTTTTAGTGTTTTTTTTCCTTGGATTGGAGGGCGGGAGGGAGAGAATATTAAGGGGAGGAGAGGTTAGGGTTTGGGGGAGGATTAAGGGAGCAGTTTTTTGGATTAAAGGGCAGGAGGGAGGGAGGATTGAGGGAAGGTAAGGTTAGGGTTTGGGAATTGGGAATTAGGGTTTGGGGATTGGGGTAGGGTTTGGGGATTTGAGTTTGGAAATTCATGGCTATATGAGAGAGAAATTAACAGAGAGTGTGGAGGCAGGGGTAAGATTTGAGGGTCTAATTTCAAAATATGAAAGATTTGGAGACTAATATCTAAAGAACCCTTAAGTTTAGAATTAATTAAGAAAAACGTGCTTTACCTGTGCTTTAGGTTGGGGGTAAAATGGGAATTTCACACCTTTTTTGAGCTGAAAATTAGATTAGATGTAACATTACAAACATGTATGCAAGTAAATGTGGTTATGATAAAAAATAAAAACCAAAGGTGCTAAGTATCAATTTGAACAAAAATTAAGATGGTTTTCATGTAAAAACCCTATTTTATTTATCTCACAATACATACGAGTAAAGGTAATTTTCCGTCGTTCCACAAAGCACACTGCAGTGGATTATCACCAAACAGTAGCATCATCAATTATTGCAGAGTACCACAAGTTCACTGACACAAATAAGCCAGACAGTTTATAACCATGTCACATTAGAAATATGAACAAAATAAAATAAAAGTCAAACTTAACCTTTGTGCATAAACCAAATAGTAGGTAGTTTGGACAGGCGGTATTTCAATTAACCCTATCCGCTGTCTACATTATTAGTTCATATAAATAAATGTAGCATGCACGTAACACTACTCATGGATTGCTGAAGAATGAGGTGGTTTCGTACACATGAAAAATACCCATAACTAGTATTGGAAGAGAACTAAAACTGTTAAAATAAACCACAACTCACAGAGTATCATTGCATGGATTCTTCTTAGGGATGAAGCGCCTTGCCCAAAGATGCTTCCCATTAGTTATGAACTTGACCTTATCAGCACCATTCAAGACTTCAAGAACTGTTGCCAATGTATGGAACGAAACATAAGCATATTGGGGAGGCTTGCCTTCTTTCGGTTTCTGTATATTCACCATCTCCACATCCCCATAATACCTGTTCAAGTTATAAAAGTTATGATGCAAGTAATCTATGAAAATAAGCTTGCCATAAATACTCTCTAATCAATACATGCATATTTAGATGAGCAATACTTGTATTTTGAATATATCTAAAATATATTGTCCATGTGAATTCTTTTAAAGTATGTGTATGTGTAATATATGACAATAATTTTCAAGGATTTTCTGTTTATAAAGCTAAAGTTTACCTTCATATATTTTCAAACACACCCAACTTCCAAAATCGTTCTTAAACCCAATATACCCATATGAATTGTTTTAAGCCTAGTTTCAGTTTCACTTGCTATACTCGTGTCTAAGATTCTATATTCGGTGTACAAGTAGCTATATTTGGGTCTATAGCTATTAGGGTTTAAGACGTTATAGTTGGTTTTAAAAATAATTCAGTATGGGTATGTTGGTTTAAAAATGATTTGGAAGTGGGTGGGTTTAAAAATAAATGAGTGTGAAACTTCGGGTTAATAAACAAACAAACTTATTCAACTACCGTAGCTCGAATTGTAACAAGAATGCAAACTTGGAGCAGGTACAACCAGATGGAGATCAGAATTATATTTCTATATATAGCACCAAAAGTGCATGAATAAACAGTTGATAGCACAAAGAAGTACGCAAATGTACAGGGTGCCAGAACGAACTCCAATTTGACTCTCAATTCACATGTTGCTGAAAAAGCTTACGAGGAAATACAGTCTCTACCTTGTTTGTAACCATGGAGTGAACATGAAAACTTTTTTTGATGTACAAGGATGCTTTTGGGAGAGATCAGACGAAACTAGTGGAATGCTCATTTTGATATTACCAAAGGATTAATTTCACACAGATCTGATTATGTTTCCATTCTAACTGATAAATGCCAAAACAAGGCTCCTTTATCCTATTTTTGGACAAACAAATAAAAGCAGCATCGGCGGATTTTTGGAATTACTGAAGAAAAGTTTGGTAAGCAAATGAAGAGGTTTTCTAGACATTTTGGTAAGCAAATGAAGAGGTTTTCTAGACATTCTGATTTGTTTCCCATTCCTACAACTTTTCTACTGGTAAGTTTGATATCTGATTGTGGTTAATGCATTTCATTACTGGTCATGAATAGAATAAGAAGAAGAAAATCCATAAAATAAGAAGATAAGGTAGTCTTTGCAAATGAAATGCCAAAGCAGAAGCTACCAGAATCTTTGCTGGAATGCTATATGTCACAGGATTCGAGCAGGGAACCTCATGGTAGATTTAATGGATTTTAGGAGAGTACCTAATGCGAAAAGAAGAAAAATTCACACGGGATGGCAATTTGGAATCCAAGAATAGCATATGGATACTAAAACAACACATAAAGAGAATCCTAAAGAAATCATATAATAATTTCCATCAGTACTCTAGGGGAGTATTAGTTGAAAATATAGTTGAAGTGAAAGTTTGAGCTAAGAACATCTAAAGATCTGAAGTTATGTAAGCAAAAGACGATGAAAAATATTAATGACACTTTAAGGAAGTATATACGCATAATGTGAACCATTAGAAATCAGTTTCTAATGGTTTTTTTAATATAAAAATTTGAAGAACTGCCAAGGGTGGATCATGATAGAGTTTTTCCAGGCATTTTTTTGCATGTTACTATAGACAACATTTTCACTACCATCCCTGATTTAGTAAAGTTTAATAGGCAACAATCACTAGCATCCCCGAGGTTTTCCGGGCGCATTTTTCAATGCTGAAAAGTTCCCAAACAACTATGCCTGGGACAGTAGAGGAAGTTAAAATGTTTCCCTCTCTGCATGTGTTCAGTAGAGCGTATGTGCAAGTTCAGATATTTTGTTATGTGTGTATATAAGCAAGCTTGCAGTCTAAGTTTGGCTTCCACTACATCAAAAGGTAGATCTTCATAAAGAGAGGACTTTGTCTCGATTAAAAAAATTGCCATTCAAATATATTTTTCCGTAACTGCCTATGGAAACACCAAGCTAAGCCCCCGATCAGACACGTTTAAGGACTGTGAATCCACATGTTCATAAAGAGAGGATTTTGTCTAAATTAAAAACATTGCCATTCAAAGATATTTTTCCATAACTGCCTACGGAAACACCAAGCTAAACCCCCAATCAGACACATTGAAGGACTGAGTCTACATGTTCAGAATGGAGAAATAGACAGACATGTGAGACTACTTTTCTCACTTCATTTACTATTCTATTTAAATATAAAGTGTAAATTTTGAAAACCCCAAAATCTATAACTCCTTTTTAGAAAGCCCCATCTTTATTAAACTCGACAACAATCCTCATGAACTATAAGTTTTTTGTTAAAAAATATGTTCACAAATTATTGTTTACAAATTTTATGCTTCCTTTTTCATCCCTGATAATTTCTGTTATAAAGAAAGCGAAATTGTGGGTTGTCATCCAAGTCAATAGTAAGTTAAGATTTCTCCAATTTCGCGTCACTTCTATCCTAAAATTATTATATAGTCTAGAAGTTCGGATTCAATGATGAAATTTGTAAAATTGATACAGGCTTTATTAAGATAAGATGAGTTTCATAGTGGTCTACTGAAAAAACTTAGATCTTAGACCACTATTTCTCCTCATACGAGCACGCCTTCCAAATTGAATGAAAAAGGGGAAACGTGATGGCTGATTCTTTGGGTTTATATCTAACTTAGGCTTTTGATCTACTTATTTGAAGTCATCAAATCCCCAATGTTTTGATGACTTCGGAAAAGAGAGAGCACAAGTTTTTTTTCTCCTTTTGTGAGAGGAAAAATGTAAGACCAAACAATCAATACTCAATCAAGCTCTTTAATTGTAAGAATAAGGTTGTGTTTATTTTCTAGGATTAAAAAGTAGATATAGAAGAAGAGAATTTTCAAAAAGGATAGGTCAAGTGGTTAGCGTAAGCTTAGAACGTAGAGGCAGAGGGAGGGCCTTTTGAAGTTTACCTTAAAACTAACTCCATCGGTATGTAACCACTATCCAACTACAGCAGCAAACACAAAGTATTAACGAAGATAGAAAGTGAAAATAAACTAAGGATATATCTAGTCCAATATTCCTAAGAAAACAAGTGAGGTATAAACATTTGATCAAAAGAGTAGATAGTGACAATACTACAGTATACTCCATATATGAACTACTCCTGCCACCATCTAAAAGATTTTATTTAAGTGCTCATAATTCTTGACAAGAGCATACTTTAATTGTTTAATATGTTTGAATAATCAAGCATCACATAAAACATTATATATTGTGAACATTTCTTTCAACAACTTTTAAGGAGCATGATTATCTTGAGGCTATCTGCACTAATACGTTATCGTCCTACTTGACATGTACTCAATGTAATTGACATTTCATAAAATTATGACTTGTGAAAGGACAGCCCACATAATTAAGATAGAATCATGTGTTTAAGCAGCTGGCATACACGTCCTACACAAGTACGACTTAAGCAATGACTACTAATAAGTCATCATAGCTACAGGGATAACACCAATTTGTTACTAAAAAAACTGTCAATTTTGTTTCTTAGTTACTGCTCATTACTCGTTGTGGCTAAGAGTGTAATTTTCGCACTAGAATTTTACTCCATGACAGTTCTACAACTCTGCATTATATAAACAGTTACCCTAGTATTTTCCTCCATTCGTTAGCCATTATCTTAGTCATGGTCACCGTAAACCCTCATTTCCCTACCATACCTTGATTAGGATATTATCAAGTCTGACAATTTCTCCCAAATACTACCCTGAAGCATTTTAATACTCCATCAATTTGATGTTAATTAATCATACATATCCAAATCTTTTCTACAAAACAGCTTCTCCATCCACTCCGAGGAATGCAACAAATTCATCTAACTTTACTTAGAAGACATGACAATGACCATAATAAGCGTAGGAACAAACAACCTAGTGTCCTATGAATAAAAAGATCTCCGAAACTGACACCTTTTCATAGTAAGTTTTTATCACATTACCTATCATGTAAATTCTCTGTGTCAGGAAAAACGCACTTTAGCATAACCATCATATGGCCAAAATTTGTACACTATAAAAAAAGGGAATTATTCTCAGAATATATAAGAACTTTAAGAAGTGAGTTTTAAGCAGCATATCACACATCAACAATCAGTAACTATAACAGATGGATGATGAACAACTATCAAGCACTTATATATTTTAAATTTAGTGCACATTCTGTGAAAGGAAACACATTAATGAATTACCTAAAATATTCAGTTATTTGAGATAGGACCTTCCGATCATCATAATTGTAATGTTCAATAAAGACTTTATAAGACTACAGGAGAAAAATAAAAATATGTCTAAAAAAGATGAAAACATCTCATCAACCACAAAAAGAAATCACACCAGTACTATTCCTTAATTATATTTTATTCCTCGATGCCCCACATCTTCAAACTATCAGAGTTGCAAAGCGGTGAGGAGATGTTGATGAATTGAGGATATTGCACTACAACTATAAGCCTAAATGCCTAAAATACGAAAGAAAATTGCCACTTAATTTGAACAGAAAACAATTGCTTCATCCCTAGAAGTTGGACAGTTCTTGCAAGCTATATATCCATCAACAAGACTTATCAGTTTATCAGCTTGAAAATGGATTTGGTTCTTCATTCCCAAATAGGTTCACCAAGAACCAAAAGCATTCTCCAAAAGACTATACCTGAACGAAAGCAAATTTTCAAGAAACAAGTCTCAAGCTGCAAATTATCTATAAATATGAAAGAAGGTGCATAGATCGTCAATATCCTTCTCTAGTCGACTTTTCTTTTGAACATTGTGCTGCAACCTTCAGTGGTAAAACTCTTTGGATGAGAAGACATACTATCGGTCACACCAATTTCAATCTTGTTAAGGACAGCAATTGACCATAAAAAAGTTCAATCGTCAATATTTACCACCAATATTGAGGCCTTTTATAGGATGTTCACTAATAAACTTGAAGAAACTTGAAAAACATTTCAATTTTAATATTAATATGAACTGGTAGGATGAATAAAGAAAGTGAGGTTTTACGCAACATATTATCTCTAGTTTTCCACAAAAGAGAGTTTTCCACAAAAGAGAGTGAGGCTTAATTGATGGTAAATTCAAGTGGATAAATATGAAGGTCTATATTTGACTAGTGGTTCCCACATTAAACTCTATTTATCCAACTGTTTAGAAAGCTCATAATGGTGGATTTGTAACACGCAATATATGTCTACTTCATCAGTTGGTCAAATTAAGTTTAAATTGATGCCTAATCAGATAATCACAAGGTCCAAAAGACTGGCCAACAAAATTTCATCAACGTTCCATCCATAAACTTTGAAGTAAAGCCCACTTAGTAGTAAGAATTGCTATATACACCAATGTACATCTATTTCAGTTCACTCAACCATCTGATATTAGATAACATCAAGAAAATGTAAAGTTCCTGCAAGGCTTTAAATTAAGACCATAAAAAATGCCCTTGCCTAATTTACTGAATAATCAGCTATCCAAGTTCTTAGCCATAGATGTATTCGGATAGTTGCAAATAATGAAAAGAAAAAGAAAAAGTTTAGTTTTACCTCATGAAGAAGGTATATAGTTCCTCTTTGGTCAGAGGATAGCCATTAGAAAAGGTAACAAATAGTGTCCTCTCCTCCATAGGAATATTGTCTGTTGGTGGCTGTTGACTGTTAGCTCTAACCAGGTACGGGCTACTAAGCCCCATTTCAGCATTGATGTTTTGAGTCATGGTTGGCAATTGATAACCAATCTGAGGAAAGTAAGGGATAAGAGGTCTTTGTTTGAGCATACTGAGGTTGAAAGGATATCCAGATTGGATCCCCCTTTCTACATCTAATATACCAAGAGGTTGGATCCTGGCATTAGTACCTCTGCTCGTGCCCTCTCCATGGGGAATGTAAGGCTGGATACAGAATGGCCTCATTTGTGCCACTGAGTCCATGACATGAGGAGAAGAAGGGATGATCTGCCTGGGATCAACAGATTGAAGGTAGGTATTGCTCATCTGGCGAACAAGCATTTCCATCCGATGCAAGTTAGCTGCCTTTTCTGCCCTCCTCTGGATGTCACTGAAAGCCTTCAAGCACACACTATTAAGGTAATATTTCACCCCATTAACAGCATTCTGGTGGAAGCCAACAGCAAGCTGATCCGGAGGCGTATCAAGTCGTAGTGCATCAACAAAGTCCCGACCAATCAATGCAACAATCTGAAGGCTAGAGTCACTAAGCGAGTTGATATGATCTATAATATCAGTTTGTTCCTGCTCCTCTAGCCAAAGCCAGAAAGCAATGATCTCCATGGAGCGGGTAGGATCCATACAGAGGTCGATGACCATTCGAGAAAAAAGCTTCCGCTCCCTTGAGTGGAAGGCTTGGATGGAACTTATAGGGATGTTTCTCACGGTGGAATCCATTAGAAAGAGATAGGAGGAATAAAAGTGTGGAGTACAGATGGAGAAGAAGGGATAGCGAATTCGTTTTTGGGGGGTTCAGAGAATTCCTAATTTGGAAGGGGCTCAAAGAATGAGGGTGAGGATTGCGTGAGTTCTTAACTATTGTGGAAACATATTGATTGCCAAAGATAACCCTCAATTGGCATGCAAGCCTGACACGGAGAAGCACTTGACAAACAATGAATAAGAGAGAGGAATAGAGAAGGAATCCGTAGCTCAAAAATTAATTCTGGTTATGTACATGAACCCCTTAGTAATTAATTTTTTTTTCTCAGAACCTCTGCACAACAACTGACTTTCTAATAAGACAAAGTATATCTAACAAATGCATTACAAGTGTACGCTCTGTGTATGTGAGTGTGTGAGTGAGTGAGTGAGTGAGTGAGTGAGTGAGTGAGTGAGTGTGTGTGTGTGTGTGTGTGTGTGTGTGTGTGAGTGAGTGAGTGAGTGAGTGAGTGAGTGAGTGAGTGTGTGTGTGTGTGTGTGTGTGTGTGTGTGTGTGTGAGAGAGAGAGAGAGAGAGAGAGAGGGGCTGTAGAGAGAGAGCAAACGGACTAGTGGCAGCATGGGAATGAAAATAATGGTCATTTTGTCAAGAAATGGTAAAAGTTATTTCCATTGAAGTTCTACACCAATGGACTCTCGATTATTCTTTTTCACTTCATATAGAGCTTCTAAATAGATTTGCACCATTTGGTCATTTTTCAAAAGACATCTAGTCAAGGGGGAATGTATATTTCAAAATAAGAATTAAAATTAAATTCATGTTCCAATAATCTTCTAATAAATGTACTCTTTTGTCTATTTCCGGATCAAGTATAAGAGAAAGGGCTTGCATCTTCCAAAAAAGGAAGTAAATAATTCCTATCAGTATATAGACATTAACTCTGATTAAGGCCATAGGACTTCAACTTAAGATGCTGGACACTTCAAAACTGAAAATGACAAAAAAAAGACTACAAAATTTTCTGGATCTAAATCATTTGTTGAAGTTAGTCGACTGTATATTTTTTTAATTGCAACATAATAAAAGTCATAGTACAGAATTTTTTTACAAATGTCTTAGGGGCTTGCATGCAGACTCTTCAAGTTAGAACACTAGCACTGCATCTTCCTCATTATGTGTGCCTCGTCTTATTTCGTTGACTCATTTACTTGCCAAAATTTACATTATCAGACTTTGGTCAATGATGCAACCAGGCAACTTTTGATTTTCTCCGCCTCATTCATCATATATTGTATCGTACACGACCCTTATCTCACTTCAATCCTTTACCATGCCTATTATGGGTTCATCTCTAAGGAATCATATTCTACAAGACTTTTATTCTTTTAATGAATCAACAAAAGTATGAATAAGGTCTTTCAAGGAAAGATTTTCAATAAATCAACCCAAAGAAGATATGGAAGTCATTGGAAGTGAAAATTCCTATTGAATCAAGCATCTCAAACTATTCAACTGTTTCTCTCTAATAATCGAGACAAAATCTCCAGTAATGCACTTGCACTTGATGAAATTATGTTGCACTCATATTTTGAAATTATGTTGCACTCATATTTTTCAAACAACTAAAAAGCATCATTTGTATCACCTATTTGCAGAGTTCATCGAGGACATAATCATGCCTCTCCTAAATCTAGATCCACATATCAAGTGTCTCACACGAAAAGTTCTAGTTCCAAGTAGATGATACAAGAAAAATGAGGCTTCTCTAAGAGATTACTTTATGTAATCACCTATGTTGGGTAGACATCGACACACCGCGACAAACACAAAACACCAATACATGAAAATTTTAAAAAGTATGACGGAGCAGATGTATCATACGCAGTATGTGGGTACAACATGTATCCAACACAAAGTCTCACGTCAAAGGTGAATGTTGCACAAGCTATCACGGTGCTTCCACATTTGACCACAGTATATTTTCTTCCACAAGAAACACTTATCTGTCTATATATAGGTAACTGTAGGCTAGAATGGCCGTTACAACTATTACAATTAAAATATATTCAAAACATAAACCTGAGTATTCATCTTTTTATCACCAAAGATGCTGAATACATGCTAAAGGCTTTTAACTATAATGAAGGCCAAATTATTAATAATTTCATTCAAGAATTTTCGGTTTATGGATTTACCTTATTGCCAGACAAGACTACTTGTGTCTGAATGTATGATTCCGCAAGTGTTTTCCATTCAAAGATGCTATTTTAGACTTCAACTAAAAGCGGCAAATTAGTACAGTTTTTGTTGCACACACATAGTCAATCCATGTCAACCAAAAAAGACAAAGTGATTCCTCAGACACTTGCACAACAACTTAGTAACATTTAAGTTTAGACTAAAACATAACAAGATTGTTGTCTGCAAGACTATAAGCATATACCAAACTATTAAATGCAGGTCGCTGTTAGAACATTTAAAAAAAAAGGAAAACTTCCTAGTCAAGATCTTTAAGAGATTTGCATTGCTTAAACATTCACTTTGAGATTTCATTCATGCACAAGGTGTTAGATTTTGTGGCCCACGTATCCACGTTTTAACTTTAATCACTTTTTAAAGTTACTCTTGTAGACACGTTTTTTCAAAATCACGTTTTTAGTGGTAACAAATTTTAAACCACGTTTTGTTTAGTTAAAGGATAATCACGGTTTAATAATATTAAGAACTAAATTCCTATTGGTCAGTTTAGTTGGAGATAAGATTGTCAAATAACCGCTCATGTTGATGGAACATGGGATAATTGTTCTATTTAAGGCTTGGTCCTCTCTCTACCTATAACGTGAAAATTTTTCTCTCCATCAAGAAAAGAATTCGGAAAAATTCAAGAGGGCTAAGAGAGAGAAAACTCAGGTCTTCAACGTTGTTCTTCCTGCAATCATGGATCAAGGTACGCTCTCGTAATTAAATTATTCTTCGTGAAAATCATATTGTTCTAGATCTTGGTATTATGATAATCAAATCAAAATTAAGTTTAGTTTGATTTGCTTAAATTAAGAATTAGGTTTACATGTGTATCAGAGCCTTGATTAAAGAACTTATAATTTTCCATCATGATATTTATTTCTCGTTTTCTTTTGAATAAAGAATTAATTGAGTTTTATATTAAGTCTTGATTAAATTGTTCCATTAGTGTTAATTGAATGTTTAGAATTCTTTAATCAAATGTTTTTGATAATTTCGTGTTAAACTGAATACATAAACCATTAATGTGAAATCACTATAAAATTCGAAACTGTAAAATTCGGATCTAACTGTTCATTCATTATGTATACATATTTTGATTGAACTAAATAATTTAGGAGAAATAGTCTAGTGGTAGGTGCTTGGGAGAATGAACAGGAGGTCTGCAGTTCGAATCCTACAGCCACACTGAATATTTATAGTCTTTGATGGGCCTTGGGACACTTGGGGCTTTTGAATTCTAATAATATTTTTGTTTGCTTTCTTTTTTTTGTTGCCTGCTATTATGGTTTATAACTGTTAACTAGTTATGTATGAATTGTTAGTCTCCATGAATTACTATTTGCGGGCTTATTATAACACTGTTGTCTAAATTACATTATACAATTTGAAATTCAATTTACTCATGGATGGTTTGTTAGTCACCAAAGTGGTCATACCTTGAAGTTCTATACTTATCAAATTGTAATAATATAATTTTTTAATTACTCATGATTAAGTGATGCTACTAATGAAATGACATGATCGTATATATATTGTCATGAGTAAATTGAGGTTTATTGATTATAAAATATTTAGAATCACCCAAAGGTTGATTGGTAAATTCTATAATCTATAAACATGACTGTGATTAATTAATATATCTGATTAGATATGTTTAGAATATCCAAAGATAGCAAGCAAGTCTAATTGGAGTATATAATTGCCAACTATATGAAATAAAAACTAAGCATCAATTATGTTCATTGTTGTACATTGATGGATCACCCAAAGGAGAACTTCAATGTACGTTTATTGTTTAATTTGAATGTTATCTGAATATGTGTTGTGTGTTCAAGTTTAAGCTTATGACTCAAAACATTAATATGTCAGTATTTTATATATTTGCAGCACCTATTTCTCTTCATTCGCAAGCCTCGTCTATTGTAAAGTTCAATGGGCTTAATTTTCATGAATGGTGTGAACAAGTTCAGTTTCACCTAGGTGTTCTGGATCTTGATTCAGCACTCCTGTATGACAAGCCCGCTGCTATTACTGATTCTAGTAGTGCTGGAGAAAGATTTTTCCATAAGGCTTGGGAAAAATAAAATAGACTTAGCTTAATGTTCATGCGGCTGACGATAGCAAACAACATTAAGTCCAATTCCTAAAACTGATAATGCAAAGGAATTCATGAAGTTTGTGGAAGATCTCTCGCAATCTGACTCTGCTGATAAGTCAATTGCAATGACATTAATGGGTACGTTGACCACCATGAAGTTCGATGGTTCTATGGGAATGGAAGTGAGGGAAAGTTTTCTTGTGTAGTTTATCATAAACTTCTTGCCCTCTGAGTTTAGTCCATTCCAAATAAACTATAACACTATAAAAGATAAGTGGAATGTGACTGAATTGCAAATTATGCTCATTCAAGAGGAAGCAAGGCTTAAGAAACAAGGAATTCACTCAATTAATCTCATGGGTCGTCAAGGAGCTGGAAAGAAACTAGGAAAGAAGAATGGAAATAGCAAGCAAGGACCACTAAAGGTTAATGGGTCACCTGTCCAAATCCACAAGAAGGAACGTAAGAATGATAAGTGTCATTTCTGCAAAAAGCTTGGACACTATCAGAAAGATTGCCTGAAATGTAAGGCATGGTTCGAAAAGAAAGTTAAACCTCTTACTTTTTTGTATGTTTCGAATCAAACTTGATAGAAGTTCCTTATAATACTTGGTGGATTGATTCTGGTTCTACCACTCATGTTTCAAGTACGATGCAGGGATTCCTTACGACCCAAGCCATAAGTCCAAATGAAAATTTCATCTTCATGGGAAATCGAGTCAAAGCTCTAGTTGAGGCCGTTGGAACCTATCGCTTGATTTTAGATACTGGACATCATTTAGATCTTTTGCAAACCCTTTATGTTCTTACTGTTTCTCGTTAGTTTCTTTATCTAAACTTGATACCGCTGGTTACTCTTTTAAATTTGGGAATAAATGTTTCAGTTTGTTTAAACATAGTCATCTTATTGGTTCTGGTGTTCTTCTTGATGGTTTATACAAATTAAAGCTTGATAATCTTTTTGCTGAAACTCTGTAACATTGCATCATAATGTTGGAACTAAACGAAGTTTAGTGGATGAAAGTTCAGCTTATTTGTGGCATAAACGTTTGGGACATATTTCTAAAGAAAGAATACAAAGATTGGCAAAGAATGAAATCCTTCATAATTTGGATTTTACTGATCTTG